ATTACCATAGTCGATTACTCAAACTGCCATAAATGGTTTGTGAACAAATCTGCAGCAAGCAATAATTATTAAGCAGAGGTGGAGCGCAATGTTAGCATAATACTACATTAGAGTTTTTGGTTAAATACAATTAAAACTCATTCAGTAAAGAATATTTTTCCTCTTCATTTCCTTTATTACACCGAAATTTGCATAAATTCAAATGTTTCTGCCTAGCACCATAAAGTTTTTTTAACTAAATTAGGCAGCATTTGCAAAATGTTATGTGAAATTTCAGTGTTTAAATAACATCCTTTCAATGATATATTAATCTTACAAATAATATATTCAAAACATTTAAATTACAGCACGATATTTCCTTGCTAAGAAAACTGAAGTGCTAAGGTTATGATAAAAAATTAGAAATGGTTTAAAGACTGACAAAAGTTGTCTCATTCAAATGAACAGAAAGTTAACTAAGCACCATAGCTTAATAATTTGATTAACAAAATTTAATAATAAAATTTGTAAGTTTTAAAAATTAAAACAATAATTAACCAAAATCAAAGAAGATGGCACAATTTCTGATTAACTTAGCAAAACAAATGCTTGCTCATCTTGAAAATTGATCATTAGTTGATTTTTTCAAAAAAGTCAAAAGGATAAAATTATGCAAATACGGTTAGTATTAGTGAAGAGCAATGTAGTACAAATGTTGATGGTTTGCCAAGGTGTTGTAAAGTTTTGTCTTACTCACTACAATGTTTCCAACATTTCAAATTTTGGTTTGTGTGTAAGGTAAAGTTTGAGGACAGCTCGCAATACCAAACTTCAAATTGTTTTAGGTTGTTTTATTTGCACAGCTAGCGATGGATTAGCAGCTAACGTCCTACCTCATTTTGAATAATATCAATTTTTATCATTCACAACTTGATTAACCTTTACTTATCACTGCTAGATATGTTATCAGTTAATGCTTAATTCTTTATTCTTATCATTATTCTGATTCTAAATTTTACTCTTAATATTTACTTTTAGCTTTATATTACTATTATTACTATTATTTTAGTTAAATAAAAAACATATCTCAAATTTCGTTGTATTATTACTACAAACAGCACAGTGGAACGCAAAATATTTGTAAATGATGGAATCATTTTTACATTTTAGTTATTGCATAACTAGCTCGAAAGTATTAAGCTGAATGAAAAAAATGCAAATGCTACCAATTTTTTTCAATAATAGTTTATGATATATGGTTGATAAAAGTATAATAATAAGTATATTTTGAATATTTGATAGCTTAGATTTTTTACTCGCTCTGGTAATTAACACCGAAATTACAATATTTCAACAAATACATTAGAAATTAAAAAATTTTTGAAACTAAAATTTGTTAGCACGACTGAACTAAATTTATAGCAAATAAATGAAGAATTCTTAAGTTACAAAAAGTCAAATTGTAGTAACATTTAAATGCCGAAAATATATGCAAATGGCGAAGTGAATCTCAATTTCTTCATGTAAATTGACTTATGCAAATTAGCTTCTCGTCCGAGTATACATCGCTTGTTTGTAAATGCAAACTTCTTTGCCCGGAAAGGCAAAAAGTATAGACTAGCAAAAAACTAATCAACGATTAGTGTTCCCAAAAAATGATTTCTTGTACAACCTGACACCATGCTGATCTCCATTGCTACTGTACTTGTAAGGTCACAAAAATCTCGAAGAAACAAGCAGGCAAGTTTGAAAAAGTTGCCCTTTCAACTTTATGTATCTCTGTGATAAATTTATTTTAAAAGCAATCAGTCTGCTGCGCTATGCAAAATTGATAATCTCTACAAAACAATATCAGTTTTTACTGCATTTTGAATATGCTCGTAGGTGATCATATCAATATTCATATCGGTGATATCATTATATTTATTAGTAATAAACACGATCTACAATAGACTTAGTGATTGCAAACGAACTACTTTTATCAGTCAGTTACCGGAAGTATTTATTAACAACGATAGCAAATTTTCCCTATTTTGAATACTGTCATAAATAGGACAAGTTAATAATCCCATGTTTTCTAGTTATTTAAGTTCTTAAAAAACAGTAATGATTTTTAAAAACTTAAATTTTACTATATCTGCAATTTATCATTAATAGAATAAAAAGGCGAAAAATACAAATTAAATTAAAATGAATGATTTTTTTCGTTGGTATCCTCTTAAAGGCTAAATTTGCTAAACAAACACAAAAATTTCACTTGAGAGTTAAACTATCTCGAATTAAAATTCTATTTATATACTAGGGATAATCTGTGATTTATTAGTAAATATTGCGTAGAGTATCACTATTCATGAAAGTTTTACCGTTACAATTAATTTTACAAAGTTTTGCTTTTCTTACTTAGAACAATATTTATAAGTTTTGTATTTGAAAATTTTTATATATCAAATTTATGGTAAAAGCCTTTTTTTTCTGCTAAAATAATAATCATTATAACAATAATACTGATAGCTACTATTATTACTGGTAATAATAATCACTGTTGTTACCATTACTATTATAACAGCAGGAGGATACAAACTGTTCAGTGAGTCGGTTTCTAACTTTCAGCATCAAAAAAAGTAATTATGATTTTTGGAAAATGAATTTTTAGTAGTAAGTTCGAAACAATTACAGTGACAAAGAAAGTGCTAGCGATATCAGTATTTCACACGTGTATCAAATAAAGCAGCCTAAAATTTGATCGTAGTAAGACTTCAAAAATTTTAAGCATTATGCAGCAAATTTCTTACGTGATGCTCTTCAGGGTTTGCTCCAAATTGAAAATCGAGTTAAGACAAAATCAGATTAATCAGTGTATGGTTTTTGATGCTAGTTTCCTGAAGGGAATTTTTTCTCATGGAATTTATGAATTTGCTGCGAATTCTCTGGTTGAGCATGATATACGCGTTGTATCTATTCATGTATTCATAAATTCTAACTGATAATTTTTTTCACATTTGAAGTGCACTTTACATTTGACAAAAATTATTGCTAATTCTCTGAGAGATAACATGAAACTAATTGAAATAATACTGATGATAATGAATTCAAATTATTTTGTATCTGAATGTCTTGAATATGCTGCTTCGATTATTCTTATTATATTGTAAGAAGAGCTATCAATAAAAACGATTAGAAGAACAATGTATAGATCATTCCAAAACGATAATACTAAATCTAAATTTGATCCAAAAGGTCATCTCGACCTTTCTTATGTGGGTCATGATCTGCTTTTTAATCATTTTCTCTATAATTACATTATTTTTTGAAAGAAAATAGATATTTGTGCTTTGCTTTTAGATTTTCTTAAATAGTGTAATTTTATAACACAAACATCTCTTTGTAGTGTAATTTTGAGATTGTTACGATGATTTTTGTTGCATATTAAAAAAATAATTGAATTCGTGTGAAAAAATGCATTTGATAAGCTATCTTTGGCAGCTTTGTTATCAGACTGTACTATCAAAACACATTTGCATATTGGATAATTTTCTCACAACTTGCTGACTAACAAATGCTTACTATGTGAAATGAGTGGGCGCTAAGGAAAATATTTTTGACTTTTTTATTTTATTCTTTTTGTTGCAACCAAAAATTACACTTTTATGCATGTAATTTTTGGTTTTTTTGGTTGCAACAAAAATTACACTTTTTTAGTTTACGTTTTATTTTAGTACTGTACCACTCATTGCACAGTATATATATTCGCAACAATCCGTCATAGCACTTTTTAAAAAAGATAAGTTAAAAATAGCAAAAGATAATTAAACTTTTAGCGCTGGAACAAATTTTTGCACAATAATTAGAGTGCATAAGCAAACGATATCTCAATCAAAAATATTTGCTTCATTTCATCCTTCAGTATAGTTTTACAAATTGTTTTAGCTATTACTGTAATTCCATCTGATCATCACTGCCTCATTTTTTTATTTTTGATCGAAAAAATGCCTTAACTGAAGAATTTATTTATCTCTTAAAATATTTACTTCTTTAGATCGCAAAAATGATACCCTTTATGATTATTCAGAAGTAAAAAAACCAAGAATCTTTTCTCATGTAGATGAGAGCAGTTGTGCTTATCGTAACTTCAGATTCGCTGATAATTCGATAACTGTTTGTGATTCAGTAAAAAACTGAAGTAAATATTTTAAGAGATAAAGTAAAAAATTGAATCAAAAAGAGTTATCAAATTATCAGCGAATTAGAATGGAAATAATTTATTTTAAAAATATTACAAAAATTATTCTTTTGGAAACAAATCTGTCACATTCATATTTTCGAAGAAAACATTTCTGATTGAATTGCTTTATATTCAATCTTATTTTTCAATAATTTAAGCATTTTTCATTAATTTTATACTTGATATATCGTTGCTAGTTCAATATGGCTTAACTTTTCAAGACAATTAGTGCAAAAACTGGGTGAAAACTGTAATACAATGGTAGGCATGGCCTTCTACCATTGTATTACAGTTTGCAGAAGATTTAAATTCCATTTAATATGACTATAATGAATTATCCCGCATAAGGAAGGTATTGCTATGGAAACTCAATGATGATTTTATGCAAACTTAGTTTGTTAACTTAATTTACTTCTTACAAATACAAGTTCTGTACTAACAATTAAAGGTCACTCATGTATTTTAAGTGATTTATTCAAAACAACCAAATAGTGAAATAAAATAGTGATATTACCTCGTATTTTTGAAAACTTGAAAAAATAAAAGTCAGAAAAGTTATTAAAAACATTCTTAGCAACATTTTGAACATTTGAGCAAATTTTTGCAATTTTTGACACAAAAAGCATTAAAAAAGACAAAATAATAGTTGATTTTTTTGACATTTCTTAAACTTATTATAGTTTTGATGCAAGGCAAATTCAGGAATTTTTTCGCATTCACTTTCAAGCTATCTTTGACATATTTTGTATCTAGGCGTTACATGCTGCACTGTAGTACAGTATACATGCATATTTTTTTATTAAAATCCTATGATCGAACTACTTTCACCGTTTCGATTTGATAATCGAAAATTAATTGATCGTTCTGTGGTTACTTTCCGAATTTTCTTACTATCTGAGCACAGTATTTGCTGCCATGCAATTATAGCTGTTTTGCGAAAATTTGAACTGAAATATTATACAATTTTAAATATTAATTATATTTCTATCTCTAAAATAAGTGATATTTTTCATTACTTTTATGATCCACTAATGCATAGATAATGACCGTTTCATTTATTATTATCAAAAATTATTACTATTCTTTTGTGTAAGAAATGAAAGTAAACAGATCGATTAATTATTTATTTTATTTTTGTTAATTTAGCTGAAAGCTTACAAAAAGCTCACCTTGAAAATGCATAAACAATGACATCACATGCAAAATTGATGTAATACAAGTAGTGAGCAGTGTTGTACAGAAATATGGTTATGACACCGTGTAAACCTCCAACAATGGAAAACTTATTGCTTTGAAAAACGTATAATGCAATTGTATCTGTGATGCGCAATAGATAAAATGGAGTATTTAACAACATATAAACTACCGGAACTACCAGTAATATCCTGAAATAATTTAATTCTTTTTACTCTGATAATACTCATAAAATTACACTCAAAATATTTGCAATCATTGCTGATTGAATAATATTATTCATTCACTGCTGTACCTGTGCTACGCTCGCTCATTCATATAAACAACCATTTTGATTATGCACAAAAATTCGCTATGAATCAAATTGTATTATATTTTGTAGTAAACTTTATACATGAATAAGTGATAATTATATTTACTATTTATGATTTGAATCAGTATTCAAAATATAATTCCTAGCAATACAATGAGGAATATAAATAAGAATTACACACGTTTGTAGTCATTTGGATGTATTCAAGTAATCATAATCATTAAATATTGATGATATAACAGTTTTACTAGTAAAAATTTATGATAGACATTACCATGGTAATTAACATAATACTAAGACTCATTAATTAACAAAGTCATATACTGCGAAATGGAAAATTTTTGTATGTGTAATTTTCTGATTCATAAAATAAATTATGTAATAACAGACATGGCTGAACCCTGCCGTCGCCTAGATGAATTAATATTACAACGTGACTGATTAGCGACATGCGTAAAACCACGTTTAACTTTTCCAGCTACAAGTAAATTCAGAAGAACCACGCAAAGACACGGTGCAACGTAACATAATGTTACATCTGCTACCTCAACCAACATCTGCAAATTCTCAAAAATATTTTTTCTCGCGTAATAATGATATGGAAAACTGATTGGCAGATTTTATTTTAATGCATATTACAAGATGGACAATTAAGCTGATTACTTTAGTTTCAGTTGCATTATCTTGAAATGTATTCAGATACCAAAATTATTTTTGAAGCTCTGATCACAAAATACAAACAACAATTATCAGATTTTGATCGTTTATTATGTTTACAATAACTTAAAAATATTGCATTATTTTTTATTGACCCTTTATTAACTTTTTCCAATATAATTACTAGATCAGACTCAAAATTTTCAAACTGAATAGTAGTAAACGAACGTAACCTGCAAGCTACCATCATATGGAACACATTTGCGTATGTTTGGATAATTAGGGTCATTTTTATCGTTGTATGGGATAAGAGAGATAAATTGAATTAAATTGAAAGCAAAAGGTATTGGCAGCCAGAAAAGCATTATTTTCCATCTGTCCACATGTCCATACTGTAATATTTAATTAATTTAAATAGTTAAACTTAAAAAAAATAACTTTTAATAGTAATACTTCAAAAATTATTCTGCAGCTTGTATCTGCTGTCCATCTTGTACTCAGTACTTGACTATTAGATACTTATGCTAATTTAGTAGAAACAAGCTAAAAAATATTATTTTCTATTGCTAGGTCACTGATTAGTTGAGTAATTGAATAATTAGTGAATGAATTTTAATTGATAAATAATATGCAAACTTACTCTGACATGCTTCAGTGGAAAAGCAATAGCCAAATACCTTTCGATGCTAAGTGCTGCAACTGACCAACTGCTAATGTAAGACGACGTTGATAAAATGTACTCAATAACAACGCAGAAGTGATAAGCAATGAAGTCTAATTTGAATAATATTAACAATAAGCCAAGTAGAAATACGCTGTCCGCTGCTGTGAGGACAATTAGGTAATGATTCGCAGCTATCTGCAGGGATAAGATAAAAATATCGCAAATCAATCAAATTACTTACCTTAGAGGTCAAAAAAAAGTTTTTTGATTTATTTGTAAATGTTTAAACATAACTGTGACATTTTGTGAGATTTCTCCTACAAAAATTGACCACCGCAAGAAAAATTATCTTCAATTACTTAAAATTTTGAGCATCAGTTGTTGTAATTGAGCATCTGAATGTTTTTACGCCAAAATTCATTTCATTTTTTTAATACTAAATTTTCGATAAAATTTTATCAAAATTTAATACTCAACAAGTTCTTTTCGGATTTTCTGTTGTGTCTCTAAATTTAGCGCTTATTTTTTTCAAAAAATCCGATAAGATTCTATCAAAGCTTATTGTAACAGTAATAAGTTTGAGTATTTTACTATATCCAATTCTTTAACGACCATAACATTATTTATGTACTGAATTCAATTCAAATATTTACGTGAAACTTTTCACTTTTATAAGCATATTAAAAGTCTTATAAAAATTGCGCATATTGTTGCATAAAAAAAAACAATTTGATACTTAAGTAATTAAATAAAACTGAAATAATAACAAACTTACTTCCCTCAGTCTCGAGTGGAAAATAGTAACCAGTGAGATTATATTGCCACATAAGCCAAATGTAACGATTATTGGTAAAATAATTACATACAAATCAGCACTTTTCTCTTCCAAATCCGTTATGCTATTACTTCCAAAGGCTTCCGTTACATTCATAACGTTTAATTTATTGAAGTTATTGAGAAGAAAAATTATTCACTTAATAATAACAATGACAGTAACAACGGTAATAGTAATAATAATGATGAGATAATAATAATAATGATAATAATCAAATGATATTGCTAATATTATCAATAACAGATGTTATGAAGTTATTTCGTTTTCCAATTAACTGAAAACAATACCATTATTAAGCATTATTAGTATGAATGAAATAGAATTGAGATGAGATTACATTTTGTTTTCTGTGTTTCAAGCAATTATCAAAATATACACAAGCATTCAAGTATTATTTTGCAGTATTTGACTACTTTTATCGTAGATTATTACTCTATGGAATTTTACTCCAAAACTACACAACCATATCAATCATGTTTACGTATATTTATTCATATTTTGATATATTTATCTCACATGTTTGCCATACTCTCAGTGAAAAACTGGCAGTCATTTTTAATACGCTAAAATTGCTGCATAAAATGTGAAAAAATTTAAAAAAATAGCTGAAAAATTAAGCGAATAAATTAAATTATGACTAAGTGAACGACGAGCAGTGCTATCTAATATTACAATCAGTTATGCAAATGAGCAAATATTTTAACGATATGTCCTCGAAGAGTAAACTCAAAGTGTAAAGTGATTATTGAGAATGATTTTTTTATTATTAAAAATAAGTTATCATTGAAAATGTTATTATTGAAAATGATTAAGCATTATAATTCAAGTTTTGAATTACAATCAGCAAGGTTTATTTTTAGAAATTATATTTAGAAAGATATGATTTGTACATTTTTCTTTACAATAACTTTTCATTTTTAGTTCAACTGCTTTAGCGATGTTATTCAGTCATTTTTATTTTTCAGTTAGCGATATCTTGTAAAAAATATTTTAGTTTACGATGATAATTTAAAATTTTCATTCTTATATTGCAATTAGTTTAAATAGTTTTTTTTTGCATAAATTTATTTATTTAGCGTCAATGCAAAAAAGTACGTCAAATACTTCTGAATTAATTAGCATGTAAAGCATTTTCAAGAAACTATAATTTTATCCAATCAATTTTTCAAATTTGTAAAATATTTTAAAAGCAGAAATTGTGTAATAAGTGCTCAAAAATCTTAATTAATTATTCACTAATATTAAAAAAACCTTTCATTTACTGAAAAACAGCAAAAATGAATAATAGCTGGCGGAATTGCGATGGGTTTCTCACGCTGATCGCTGGTATTTATGCAAAATTAAGAAAAAATGTCAAATTTTAGGCAGAGAAAATCTAAAAGGTTTTTTTACAGCACAAAAAATCGAGAAAGTGTTTTCATATTAATAAGTAAGAAGCTGTGGCGCAAAGAAGCATGAAAGTATCCTTAAAAATTTGTATGGCTTATGTTATGATTTCTGATCAACTGCTATGAGTTAAAGTTATAATACGTATGAATAAGTAATTATCCCTCCAATCTATTCAAAAAAATTATCAACTCAATAAAGCACTTTGTTTTTGAGGCTTGAAAAAGCAAACTTCATTAAACTTTGATATAATTAATTCTAAATCTCATTAAAGTTTTACTCATAAATAAAATAAATAATAATTTTAAGATTGAAGCTAATAAAAATTTAAAAAATCATAAATTATAACAACATGTCTTATTGATTATTTCATTTTTTTTAATTTAAAAAAAAATAAGATAATTCAAAGCAAGCTCTATGATACTAAATTTATTTTCATGAACCTTTTCTTTTCAAATGGCTAAAAATTTTTAATAAAAATAAAAATAGGCAATTGTATGATGCATTCAACTTTCACAGCACTTATTTATTTATTCAATTCTCACGGCAAATACCTATAAAAAATATTATAAGGTATGCAATTAAAAAGCAGAAAATAAGACAAAGTAACATATTGCGTTAAATATCAATTTCAGGAAGTGAAAATAACTTGCAAAATATTTCCTTTTTTTAAACTTTACTGAATTTAAAAATATAATTTGAATTACAGTTTGTGATTTTAGTAATGAATGAAAAATATATTCAGTATTACTTTACAAATCGTTCACTTAATAAAAAACATTTGCGACAATTAAAATATAAATACTAATGCCAAAAATAAAAAAAAGCAGAGCACAAAGTTTGTAACAAACAAACTGATAAATAATAAACTTTGCGGACTGTGTCACAAGCATGCACGATAGTTTGGATCAGTACAGTAAAGGCTTTCATTTTATAGTATGTTTATTTTTTGTGTTTATAAGCAAAATTATTAGTTTGAATAGCATTTTAGCAATAAGTGTAATTTCAAGTTGCACACACTGACAAAAAGGTATAATTTTTAAATATCGAAAAAGATGCTTCAAAAATTTTTTCATTATTTTGTGAAACTAAAATTGATTAGATAAATTCGAGAAAAGATGAAGGATTTTTTCAAGCATTGCAAGCAATCTGTGCTGAGATGAAATAGATTGAAAAATCTTAGAATATAAATACTTTTCAAGCAGTGACTGAGCAGCTTCTAATAAGCTCAAAAAATTAGATTTAACTTTTAAATTTTAATCAAACACAATGAGATTTCAGTTTGGTATTCAAAGTTTGAAAGAGTAAAATTTTCAATTACTGTAGTATGCTTAATGCAAAATGAAAGCTTCAGATGTGATATCCAGTAACTGTAGATAGATTTATTATCAGTACTTTGAGAATAATGACACATATTAGAGTATAGTGAATTAAGTTATTGAGAGTAAATGAAGAAAAAGTACTGATATGGAGTGATAACAAGTAAATCTCTATCCACGCTTACTTAATATTCCATGTGATCAGCTGTTGAAACGCGCATAAATGGTAGTGATGAGTGGTGCAAGCGACTTGATTGCCTGTCGAGAATAACTCCCGAATAGTAAGTAAGCTTAAAACTGCTTATTTTCTTTAAAAAAAATTATTTTCAATACGTGCATTTTTTTTTCGTCTTATTTCTTAAATTGTATACATACTGCCAACTGCAAAATTTACATTAAAAATTGCATTTAGCTTTGTTTCACGAAAACTAATCTTTAATTTGTGCTCATCCAAGCATATGCCTTTTTTAGTATAATCAACTGATCTGACAACCTTTAAGCTTTTTAGTCATATAAACTTTTGAATTGTGTGAAAAAATAAATTTGCATTTTAAGAATAATTTATCAAAATTATTTTATTTGATTTTAACTTTATCACTTAAAAAAGAATAAGTCTTGCTCAGCTTGTATTTTTTAATAATTTATACACACTAATACTGCTTCCTTTTATCAAAATTTATGATATATCCATTTGACAAAGCTATTTATGACCTTCACTTCAAATTACATATTAAAATTACTTAGCACAATTATAGTTATTATAGTTACAATTGCTAAAGACACCTAAATTTGACAAAGCTATTTATGACCTTCACTAAAGGACACATTTGGCTTTTATCCCTTAAACACATAAATTACTTTTCATTTTACCTCAGTTTCAAATTCATAATTCTTATCAATTTATTGTTATCAAAGTTATTCTTGCAAAACTGTTTAGTGCCATTTTTGGTATTTGTTTAAAAATCTTAAAATTATTTCTGCATAATCAAACAGATAGCTTGTTCTTAAGTCTTACGTCTAGCCATGAAGTCTAATAGTATAATCTATGAATTAAAAATATTATATTAATTATGAAAAGATGTAATAAATTAAACTTTGATAAAGAGAAATTTTCGAAATTACTATGATAGTAAACAAATCTAAAGAGTTGCAATATAATGTCAGACAAAGTAATTTTTAGTATAAATGAAGAGCTTTTATTACTCAATTAAAGAGAAGCTTTACTATTACTTAATTTATTACTTAATTTATTTCTGATGAAAAGTATTTTCAAGAACAAATGCGAAGTAATAATTATGAAGCCAGGTCTAGGTTTATTTTTTATTTTTTGACAAATACTTTTAACTATTACTTCTTTGATCGATTATTTCATACAGTAATTAATGTAAACTATCTTTTACTTAAATATTTTTAATTTTTTTCTCCTTTTTTAGTATTTAAAAATAGTTATGTTTTTTGCTGCTCATTCAAGTAACATATATATTATTTACATTACAAGATTATAACGGTTCTGAACAAAAATACGGCTGAATTTAAATTCAAAAATTTATTATTTTAAATTCTAAGTAACAAATAAAATTGTTTTTTAATATAACTATTTATATAGGTCATAGATATTAAATTACTATCATTTCAATGTACAATTTAGAATTGTGATCAGCAAATTACTGCTGAATAACTTTTCAACTGTCCAAATACTTCTTGATAAGTTCATCTGGAACTCATTTTGTGAAAAACTATTACTTTCTCTCAATACACTCATAAATGAACTACTTTTACGCTTATTCTTTGCAGTAAAATTTTACGACTTTCATACATTATAAAATTTGACAAATTCAGTTCTCCAATTAAAATATTGCTCATAATTTTTTCGCCTTTGCAACATAACATAAAAATTGTGATGAATTAAGCATAAAAAACATTTATATTGTAAAACGTAACTTATTATCCATTTCCAATTTGTTGAATTCAGAATTTTATAGATTGATTTAGTCAGTTATTCAAATAGAATTATGCAGATTTTCTCCTTTTAACTTACTTACAACAAGATTACATTGTAAGTGAAAATGGTTAAGCAGATATTAGCTGGATTGGTAAACAATAGCCAACTATATTTTTGTCTGTATTCGATTTAGAAAACTGCTTCACACCGTAATATTTATGGAATATTGTAAAAATCAGGACATCTGTATGAAATAAAGTAATTGAAATTTAGAAGATTAATTTCAGTATATATTTCATTTTGATTACAACGAAACATAATTATGCAAAATGAAATTTATTGCAGGGATAATTTAAGATTTAAACTCATCCAAAAACTGTAATACAAGTGATTAATTCAAACATTTCTATTTCGCTATTTAAAAAAATTTACACCTTTAACAATCTAAG